GCCACTCTGTAGGACCTGAAGTTCTCCTGCATTCCTCTGGCGGGTGAGGACAACACTGTCAGCCTTGAGGCACTCGGAACTAATTTCCTTCCATTGAAAGACCAGGAAGAAACTTTGTCAAGACTCAACCGCAGAGAAGATCCGAAACCCAGAAGAAAAGTACCATGGGAAACGATTGTGACTTTATGTAGAAGATCTACCATCTACCCTCCTTGGGTTACTCTGTTGATTCATGGCTTTCACTGCCATGACCAGCAAAGGGTTGGCTGGTTTTAGAAGTAAATGAAGCTACTCCAATGAGCTTCAGATTTCCTTTGCTGATGAGTCTAGATAGGCTCTTCGTCTGAAGCCCAGACAGAGAATGCCAAGACCGGTCTATTCTCCAACACTTCCTGTGTTTATGACGCATTTTGTTTCCATAAGGCATTGTGAGAATGAGACAGCCCTTTTTCTATCCAGAGAGAACGGAACTTGGCCCTCATAATATTTTGAAGAAGGAGAAATAAGAATGCCAGTGTCAACTCGTAAAACATTCCTAGGCCTGTTTTCGAGTTGCCATAAACAAGGGAGGTGGGAATCTGAAGGAGCAGTACCGCAGTTTAAAACCAGAAGTACATTTCACACTTATCTTTAAAAGATTGTAGCTAGGCTAACTGTCACGCCCCTGTTGGAGTCTGACTCTGAGGGAGAGGAGGAACAGCTGACAGGGACTGGAAGTGTGGCTCTGGAGGTTGTGGAGGAAACTGGGGAAGACCCAGGCCCATCCCCTCTTCATCCTAGGGCACACAGGGAGGAGCAGATAAGGGAGAAACGTGAATGGCGTGGTCTATGGGGGAGGAAGGGGCCCTGATCCCCTTCATGGGCTGCAGCTGTGAAGACTGTTTATAAGGACAAACTGCGCATGGCCCAGTGCTGGAAGCAAAGCGTGAAACAATTCTAGTCTTTCAGTTCTTATCTGAGTTTTGGCGTCCTTCCCAGTGTGTGTATTCCAATATCTGTGGACATCTTCAAGCCCTTATCCTGCCTTGTCTCATTAATTGCTTCAGTGTGTTGTGTTGTTTTTTCTATTTATAATTTGTATGTATTTTGAGTTTGAATGGAAGTTCTTCCTTTTCGCAACTGTTTGTGGGGGAGTTTTTTCTCCAGTCAATGATAATTGGGCCTTTGAAGCCAAGTTGAAGGAATTAAAGGGGCTTCCCCTGTTTTTGTGACTTTGTTGCTTTTGTATCCCACCCTGGGTCATCACACTACCAGATTTTCTGCCCCTGAAAATCCTTCATTGGAGAACAGTGATTGATGACACCCAGCCTATGAACATGCTTCATTGGAGAATATGATTTATGATACACCCAGGGGGAGGGGGGAAACAGGGTCACAGGGGACTGTAAATTACATATGCCAGAGTTGGTTTCATTTAGGTTAATGCCACATGTTGCTCCTAATAAATCTTTTGAATTCTTTTGAAGCTTGGCCTGAGTCTCATGATTTAATTAGGGCAGTCACCGGAACCCTGACAGCCAGCTTTAAAAAAAATCTCAGCACAAGTTGTGTAGGACAACCGCAGCAAAACAAAATGAACACCAAAGTATCTTGCAAGATAATCTGGATCGTTCATCTCTTGTTGGAGCACAAAAGATGAGACATTTTAGCCAGCTTTGGAGAACACAAGAGATTGTGTGCAACAATAGTGATGGTGTCAGCTGTGGCCAAAAACATGTTGACTGTGCTTTTGTCACACACACACTATTCCCATAGCACCAGCTGCAATGTTTATGCGGTGATATTTACCTCTTCCCTAGGTCGTATTCCAGACAGCCTGAAAAACTGTGTCAACAAAGAACATTTGACCACCGCTACACACTGGGCGAGCATGGACCCTGGAGTTGTTCACCCAGAGCTTAATGGCGCTACTTACAGGTAGGGCAGCTTCAACTCTGGTTTCCATCAGCTCCCATGGACTCCAAAATGGGAAACACCCATTTTCTACTTTGGGATGTTCTACCACGTCACAAAGACCTTAGATGTCCAAGCAGTAGATGAGTAGGTGGTACAATCGAGGAGAATATTTGTAGCTCAGGGTTGAACTGTGGAGTCCTTGGTGCTTTCTGAGCTTGGCTGCTTTCTTCTAGACATTTCAGTAGCAAACTAGGTAACGTTATCAGTGCCAGTTGGTTGAGGTTTGTCTACATGCAAATTCCTCCCGGTTGTGTACTCAGTGAAGTGTTTGAAATCCAGATGTGGCACCAGTGGGAGACAATATTTGAAGCTCAGGTTTGAACTGTGGGGTCGTTTATGCTCTCTGAGCTTGGTGGTTTTCTTCCAGATGTTTCATGACCCAACTAGGCAACTTCATCATGATGTTCCCTAGTTTGGGTAATGAAACGTCTGTAAGAAAACAAACCCACCTCAGAGAACATCT